CTTGCTCCTAATGCCAGCATATAATATGATACACTATCGATTGTGATACTTGTGTCGTGATGTAAAATCTTACAATTGCTTGCCCTAATGCCAGCATGTAATATGATACACTATCGATTGTGATACTAGTGTCGTGATGTAAAATCTTACAATTGCTTGCTCCTAATGCCAGCATGTAATATGATACACTATCGATTGTGATACTTGTGTCGTGATGTAAAATCTTACAATTGCTTGCTCCTAATGCCAGCATGTAATATGATACACTATCGATTGTACTACGAGTGTCGTGATGTAAAGTCTTACAATTGCTTGCTCCTAATGCCAGCATGTAATATGATACACTATCGATTGTGATACTTGTGTCGTGATGTAAAATCTTACAATTGCTTGCTCCTAATACCAGCATGTAATATGATACACTATCGATTGTGATACTTGTGTCGTGATGTAAAATCTTACAATTGCTTGCTCCTAATGCCAGCATGTAATATGATACACTATCGATTGTGATACTTGTGTCGTGATGTAAAATCTTACAATTGCTTGCTCCTAATGCCAGCATATAATATGATACACTATCGATTGTGATACTTGTGTCGTGATGTAAAATCTTACAATTGCTTGCTCCTAATGCCAGCATGTAATATGATACACTATCGATTGTGATACTAGTGTCGTGATGTAAAATCTTACAATTGCTTGCTCCTAATGCCAGCATGTAATATGATACACTATCGATTGTGATACTAGTGTCGTGATGTAAAATCTTACAATTGCTTGCTCCTAATGCCAGCATGTAATATGATACACTATCGATTGTGATACTTGTGTCGTGATGTAAAGTCTTACAATTGCTTGCTCCTAATGCCAGTATGTAATATGATACACTATCGATTGTGATACTAGTGTCGTGATGTAAAATCTTACAATTGCTTGCTCCTAATGCCAGTATGTAATATGATACACTATCGATTGTGATACTAGTGTCGTGATGTAAAATCTTACAATTGCTTGCTCCTAATGCCAGCATATAATATGATACACTATCGATTGTGATACTTGTGTCGTGATGTAAAATCTTACAATTGCTTGCTCCTAATGCCAGCATGTAATATGATACACTATCGATTGTGATACTAGTGTCGTGATGTAAAACTTACAATTGCTTGCTCCTAATGCCAGCATGTAATATGATACACTATCGATTGTGATACTTGTGTTGTGATGTAAAATCTTACAATTGCTTGCTCCTAATGCCAGCATGTAATATGATACACTATCGATTGTGATACGAGTGTCGTGATGTAAAGTCTTACAATTGCTTGCTCCTAATGCCAGCATGTAATATGATACACTATCGATTGTGATACTTGTGTCGTGATGTAAAATCTTACAATTGCTTGCTCCTAATACCAGCATGTAATATGATACACTATCGATTGTGATAATTGTGACTGATAATTAGCCGATGTGATTGCTGGAATTTTCTTCAAGAAGGCTATCACTTGTCTCAAGGATATCAGTGTATCATAGGCCGGGGTTTGAGTTTTTATTAAATTATCCCCTAGATCAACATCTCATCTTCGACTCTGACCAAAAAAGTTGTTAGTGATTTATATTTATTTTCTAACTATCACGTGAGACATCTAGCACGACAGCTTCCTAGATTGGAAACACACATTCCAGCCTGCTTTCCCTTAATGATCTGCTGTACTGATTCTATAGTTCTCATAAGTATTTATTTCAGTAATAATTCAACTGTAGGGACCGAGGCGCCTAATCGCCACCCTTGTTATTTTGCACACGGAGATGCTTTCACAGTTGTTTCATCCCTACATGTCACTTGTAGGAAAGGGTAATATGCAATAGAAGTGATTACATTTGCACATGCTCCACTCAAATGTCGATTGACATCCATAAATATTTGACAAGGAAAATGTTACCCCTGATTTCACCTTCACTTCTTTTCAGTTTTTTCGCACTATTTCTTTGAAATTTACAAGAAAACTATTACACATAAAATCAGCGTTCCTCCAGACCTCACTGTATTTCAAAATGTGTGATCACCCTTATGCTTATTTGTGTAGGGGTTTCAGGGTTTGGACTGAAGGCAGAATCCCCCACAGTGTAACAACAAATAAGTTCACTTCTTCACTTCCGTGCGTGTGGGGCACATATAAAACCAGATGTGTTTATTGGGGTGCTGGGTTATATGTGTTTTCATAATGTAGTGTAACTGAATGCTGTTGCACGCCGCAGTAAGAAATTTACAAACAATAGTGCAATGATCTGGCACACATTTAGTCAGTCTTATCCTCATACGTTTCACCCAAGCATGGAATATAAACGTTCAAACATACAAATAATGAGATACAAGTTTAGAACAGAAGCATGGGAATTACAATCATGACATATAGACATGGGATAAAAAGCATAGTATTGGACATTAGATACAAACACGTGATGCCAACATGTGATACAAACATGTTATGCATACATACATGTATATGGTATACAAACACTGGATGCAAACATGGGACGGAAACACTGTATACATACAAATATGGGATACAAACAAGGAATATATATATATATATATATATATATATATATATATATATATATATATATATATATATATATATATATACAGTATATATATATATGTACAGTCCGAAATTGAACGTGTGGGGTGGCATATATGTGTTAGGGGCAACGCCCTTCTGTGTATTTGAAGGGAATATGAACAGTGAGCGGTACACAGATATTCTCGAGGGACATTTACTTCCATCTGCTCACGTGTTCTATGGACATTTTTGGATTTTCCAGCAGGACAACGACCCAAAACATCGTTCAAAGCATCCACAGGCCTGATTTCGGACCCAAAATATGACATTATTAGATTGGCCAAGCTATAGCCCTGACCTATATCCAATAGAAAATGTTTGGGGACTTATGAAGGAAAGTGTCAATAAGAAAGATCTGACAAATATTGCTGAAATAAAAGAAGAGGTGGTCCGATATTGGGACAGCATGGACCACGACTTTCTAACTTCTTTGATCAGTAATATGCCCCGACGCATTGAAGCCTGCATTGTTGCCCATGGTGACTTAACAACATACTAACTGTCTTCAAATCTAGAGTTATGTTCTGCTAATATTCACATTTAATACGTGAGTAATGATTCTTCATAATTTCTGGTTGTACTGTATATGGAATGCAAACATGGTATTCATATATTAGATACATACGTGATACTGAGGACTTATTCTACCCTGTGTAGATGTGTGAGAGGAAAGGGGATCTCTTTCGCCTATGATATATTTTACTTCAGTAAGATATCCACTTTTCAAAGTCAATAATGATGAAGACTCAGGTTTGATACCTATTCCTCATGCATTACCATTCTAAATGATAGCATTATATGTTATATAGCTAAACGAAACAGTTGCGAAGTGACAAAGAGTTGTGAATGAACTTGATGGTTCGTAACACCACACCTTCACCGTCGATCTACATGTGAATGTCAATACTAGGATACCAGCCTCAACCCAAAGCACCCCTTCTCCCCTTAATTCAGAATTTTTTGTTTTTCACACAACACAAATGTCACAAATGTCAAAAGCATTGAGAAAAGGAGGCGATTTGAAGTTAAATTGATATAGAAAAAAATATTATTCAAAAGGATTTATTCTCACGCCATTTGGTTTAAATGCTGAATCTGCGTACCACATTTGTGTACCAAGTTTCGGATACTGTCACAATAAAGTTCCACATCCTGCATACCAAAGGGGGTTGGAACCTGTACACGCTCTGGGTTGGTGCTTGGAATAAGTATTGTCGCAGTATTATCTAATATTGAGCTTCTTTTTTCAACAAGCATGTTCATAAAATGATGCTTATTACTGATCTATCAACCTTATTTCTGGCATTATTTCTGTGTGATGTTATCCATTGTCAACCAAGATACAGTTGATGCCTGTAGCAAAATCCGCTCATCTAGATGTCCACACACCCATCCATCCACTGGACCACCGTGTTTTCAGCAGTATCTGTGTTCATCATATGACAGTCATTATTTAATTTTCTTCAATCGCACAACAATCAACACGATTTTGACAGACGTAGCAACAACATATGGGGGTTAGAGTTATTGATTGCTATCTGATGTCCGTTGTTGGGAAACTCCAAGCCAATGAGTGACATAGCACGTGTTGTAGGATCTGTGAGGGATATCAGTATCGGGGTCACGAAGGGGGAACTCAGAAAATGATCTCTGTTTCTGAATTAGCATTAACAACTGCTTGTCCAAAAATAATATTTTAAGCTGACGGATTTTAGAGGTGTCAGAGTAACACAGAGAGAAAAAATGAGTTGACTGTTCGTTGGTGTCCATTGTATACTTAACAGAACATGGTTCCACTCTGTATTACTATAATTATACATTCATACATGACTTTGAACAATAGCTGAACGCATCCACATAAGTACCACCCCTACTAAACAAGACTACGGTTTGTTCTGTAATAAAGTCTACAGTCTACACCACGTTCTACCATCGCTAATCAGAGAGGAATACAATTGATCTTCAGTAGCCCATGCTTGTCGTAAGAGGCGACTTACGGGATCGGGTGGTCAGGCTCGTATCCCAATCCCGTAGATCGATGTTCATGCTATTGATCACTGGATTGTCTGGTACATACTCGATTATTTACAGACCGCCGCCATATAGCTGGAATATAGCTGAGCGCGGCGCTAAACAACATCCAATCCAATCTACCATCGCTCCGTTTCTCTGTGGTCCGTCTCGCTCACTCTCATACCCACAACTGACTTACATCATCACCGGCGGCCCTGTGTTTTCCAGCCTTTTCAATACAGTTGCTCCGACAGCCTAACTGCCACCCAGTGCTTCTGTTTGGCGCCTCCTCCAGTACTCAGTCTCTGGGAGTATATAAATGATGCCAGCATCTCACGGCGCCAGATGGTTGGAGGAAGCGTATTCGTGACATTGGCCGCTCATGAATGAAATAGCGCACTCAGCCGTACAACTCGTAGTGGCAATGTGTGTGGATATTGGATGTGTGGATGTTTCTCTGATTCCGGATTAATGTTTAAAGAAGAGTGTTTGTTTATGGTGTTTTGCAGATAGATCTTGGATGACTTTGCTCAATAACCCGTACTTGTATTTCGGGACGAAACGTTCCATTTTCTTGTCAGGCATCTAACAAAAGATATACACAGACCACACTGATTTTATCCAGTGTTATTGTACTTCTCCAACGTTGTGTTCTGATGGTAAACATAAAGGACATATTTTGATGTTTATCATGGGTTTTAGAAGTGAATTCCGCACTTGCAACTTTGGACTGAACCACAATGAACCTCAAAGATTTGTTACATCCCAGGTAGGTATTATAAATAATGGATATTCTCATTTCAATACTTGATACTAACATAACGTACAACTGAAGACAGTTTCGCCATCATTCAATACATTAATATATATATATATATACTTTGATTATGAAGCTGTATCAATTATAATGCATGATGACCGGTCTTAAAAGATAAGAAAATCATATATTCGTGAGTATTGATTTAATTCAAAGATTTCTGTCGACTTAACCAAACTTTAGAACCGAGGACTTCCCAGTATAAACCTTAAGCGACAAATTGTTCCCGTAGAAATGGGACTTACCGCACCGTTCGCAGGATTATCATGACTCATTTTATACCCGTGAACGTAACCATTCGAAACGGAATGAAACGTTTGAAGAGAAGGTTCAGGAAGTTTCCGATATATCACGGCCAGTATTAGGTGATGCAGTGTATAATTATACAAAAGGCAGATAATTCTTGTTTCCCTGTTTTCACTCCATGTACGTCAATCTGAAGATGTTTTCTTACAATCTTCGTAATCTCCTTACATTACAAAATTGATAAAAGAACGTACGTCTTTTTCGGTACAAACGTGTTTTTACTAATGACTATATTTAATTACATTTTGAGAACACCACACAGTTCAAGAGAGCTCAACACAGCAATCGATGTGGCGTCTACTTGGCGTCTGATACCACAACATATGTTGTGTAGATCGGTGTTAACATTCACCATGTACGTTCTGACTGGTCATGTTGCGTGTACTCAACATTTGTTATCAGTCCATGGTGGACTGCACTCCTCGCGGTTTCCGCCAATTAACCTTTGAGGAAATAAATACTGTTCATTAAGTATCTCAGATGGCCCATCTCAACTACTGTTACTGTTAGTCTAAAACAACATTTATACTTTGGGTGTCAACTTCTAAGATATGATTCCCATTGACCTGATGAAGGAGTGAGAATATACTCCGAAACGTATTGTTCCTCCTTTTTGTTTATGACTTTTAAGTGTCATTAAGAAATTATGGAAGATATAGCGTGCGAGGTTTGACGACACATGTAGGACACATGTATGACTGGACATAAGGTATAGACTAATGATGTCCGTATATCATGCGATCACGAACGTATAAAGCAAGCTGCATGGAAAAATGAATAATTGATTATCAGGAACCTTCTGTAAAAACTGTTTTCAAATATTCTCGAAGCACATGTCAGCCTTTTGGATATTCCAAATGTCAAGTACAGTCATGTAATCAACTGCATTATATTCCCATCCAAATTGAAATCTTATTTTGGAGTAATTACTTTCTCTTTTCGTCGATCAATATTCCAACACCTCTAGCCTTTATATTTGCAATCGAACTTTCTCTTGCTCGGATGGTTTCAAAGAGTATCATGCGACTTCCTTTAGTGTTCTTTAATCAGGGTTAAAACATTCAAGACTGTATTAAGACTTGTAAAACGATTAAAAAAGCTATACGTTTGAGGACTCTTCCAATTTCGAAGCATCAGTCAAACATGATGTCGGATAAACGAATGACAAGCATTTGAATGTGTTTGTGGAGGGTGGCACCGGTTATGCAGGATACGCTAACCTCTTACACCTGGTATCACTATTTAAAAGCGATCCAAAAATGTTGTCGGAATCGGACCATCGATTCTGCTTTTGGCAGACATTTCTTGTGAGTATGGACAGAATTTGTTATTTTCAGTTAGAATAGAATATATACACACTATTACATACATATAGCAAAGATGAAAAAAGGAGGCATAAAATGATTGGAAAACTATACTTATTAACGCTCACTGATGTAATGTGTTGCTAACAAGTGGTAATTCCGAACCGTATCAAGCCGAGGTTTGGTGGTGGCGACTCTACCGTCGATACACGTAGTGGATTGATATGATTCTATAACGTCTCTTCCAGTGGGGCCACCCCTGTCTGTACCTGTCCTGGAGGATATTCTGGGCTCTGTTTCATACATCCTGGCTGGTCAGTAGTATGGTATATTCCACCAAAGTGACGTCATCACCGCTAGGTGGCGCTGTGTGGTTCATCTACCTCACCAACTGGACCTACCTCCTGCTGACCTTCAGTGCTGTCCTGGACGCAGTCATCGTCGTTTTCGTCAGGATCAACAGACAGGACATCATAAAGGGTAAATGGTTGCTTAGTGTTAACAGTTAGAAACAAAAAGATAGGAAACAAGTAGGAACGCTTGCCAAACTTGTCAAATTCCGTAAATCCCGTATGGAAAGTGCAAACAACACTCCGCAAGTATAAGGGAACCGAGTGAGTGAAACACACGTGACAGGTATAATACTTATTATGAGATTCCCATTAACAAGTAAATTCCGGCAGGACTCAACTCAGAACTCATTACCAAGTAACCATTAATAAAGACAGAGATATATGGTCTCTGATAAAGAGCTAAATCAAACTTTGTCAGTTATATTAACATGATCCTTGTATATTTTTACAAGATCGCCACACCACCAAGTTTCGTTTCAGAAAGCACATTCTGTTGTAATTCACACTTTTGATCAGGGTGGAAAATGGACATTGACATTACGGTGGTCCGTCAGGTATTACTGTACGTCTCTCTTCTGGGGAATTCGAATATCACTCTGACAAATAATGTATACCTACAGGTTTCACGTCACACCTGCCGTGGTACATAAAGGTATCCTGGCTCCTCAACAGTGTCGTCACTGAAGGGAGTTTACACATCAGCGCCATCTACTGGATCTTCGTTTTCAAGGGTGTGTACATACTTACTTGTTTTGCTGAGATTTAAACACGTACATGCATGTAGATCTAATCGTACATAATAACGTTATTACACCTTACGTGTATATTTGGCATCCGTAAAACAGCAAGGCGAATCGGTTTATTTTAATGGTCTATCAAATCCGTTAGCTTTTCAGTTTCTATGAACCAAATAATTTATGGTTACTGGAAAATGTGTAGTATCAATCCTGTACATTTCTGATATTATTTCACCCTTTTTGCAGATCAAGATTTGACCCTGCTGAGATTCATCCTCCACGGCATGAATTCCATCTACGTCTTCTGCAACCTCCTCGTCGTGAACCTGCCAGTTCGTGTGTATCACGTGATCTACCCAGTTATCTATGGCGTCATCTACACAGTTTTCAGTATCGTATATCACATACTTGGTGGGGCCAATGAAAAGGGAGAACCGTATATCTACAAGATTCTTGATTGGTCCAAACTGAAGCGGACTCTACCTCTTGTGTTTCTGAGCACCTTTGTGGCTCTACCCTGTTTCTACATGGTCGTATATTTTACTCACATACTCAGAATATATGTACGTTCAAAATGTCTGAAAAGCAACGAGGATACAAGGATTCTTGATTCATCGATTGAAAGAAGTGACAGTGAATGTGCACGTGTTTGAACAAGCACCTCATGTCTGGGTCTGACCTTGTTATACACTGGAACATCACATACCATCACATACATGGTCCATTCAGAATTGCGTCTTGTGAAAGACTTGGCACAATTAACAGACTACACATTATAGTCAATAATTATTACAATCTGTCGTGGAACAAACTCTCCTGACGCCTGCCTATACTAAATGACTGACAGTGACATGATCACAAACATATACCTCTGCTGCAGCTATCGATTTACTATGAACATAATGATATTCGGTGTGTACTTAGATCTCACCTCGTACGTATAACAAAAGGTGTTCATGTTCAAGAGCCCTTCCTGTACCCCATGCCAGGATGAGCTGGATCAAGTGGGGGTCCAACCGTCAGTCCCTGTGTCAGCTTGGACCGTCAGTCAAGTTAGCTATCACGATTGTTTTCAGAGTATAATCATACAGGTGAAATATTTTCGAATGCGGACTACTGCCACAAACAAACAAATTGTCTCCCATTCAGAAACAGCTTCGTTAAATTGGTACTTTTCAAACTAATTGATATTTGGGAAATCTTCTTTTCCTTACAAATAAAAGTTGTACCACAATCGTCGTTACTTTTTACGTTTATTGTACGCAGACAATACGTTCGTCGTATACTCACAATACTTTTATCATACGCCATCCATACGCACACAGAAAACCCACCATACGTCCATCATATTGTAATCGTACGTAACTGGCTCTCGGCTTTAATGGGTACATCAAGGACTGGTCGGCTCGGAGTCAATATAATGTGTCGAGTGGGCTATTCATGCTTCACTGCGGCATGGTATCTCAGTGGGCTAGCACTATAAAACCAGCTCAGTCTGGGCTAGTACAAGCAGCCGCACTTACACATACACACGCATGCACGTCGTCATATGAGCGAAATATTCTCAAGCACGACGTTATACCCAATTTCACCTCACCGCACCTCCTCTCTCTCTCTCCCAGTTACATGCCCATAGTCAGTGTTGCAGTGTTATTGCTCCTCAGTTTGTACACAGACTAAAATATCCCTGTAACACTACACCCCCTACCTATGCTGGGCAATCAGCACAACTACATTGGAGAACGGGTCTAACAGTTACTCTCTGTGACAGAAAGGTATTTAGTGATACTGCGCTCTACGCAATGCAATAGTCACTGAGCACTGTTATGTACAGAATTGGCGTACATACTGACGACGAATTACATTGTTGTTTTTAACGACTTTTTCGCCATTTTCAAAGAAGCCCTCTCCGCACTCTTCAGACACAGGTATTTTTCACTATGTTCTGTTACATTCCGTAGAAGTCATAATGTAGTGACAAAAATACAGGAAGTAAGAAGGAGTGGGAGGACAAAGTAAGGAGGGAATAGCTAGGGTAGAAACGCTACCGAGGGCAAATGGCAGTGTCTATACTGCAAGATGCAGGTTGTGGATGGCCCGGCGATTGTATGGACACTGTAAAAGGTGCAGTGTGTAAAAGGCAGTGTCGAGACTCTTAGGTGCAGTGTGTAAAAGGCAATGTCGAGACTGTTAGGAGTAGTTTGTAAAAGGCAGTGTCGAGACTGTAAGGCGTAGTTTGTAAAAGGCAGTGTCGAGACTGTTAGGCGCAGTTTTTGAAAGGCAGTGTCGAGACCGTTATGCGTGTGAAAGGCAGTGTCGTTAGTGTCAGGTGTGCGTTGTACAGTGGTACGGGATATTTAAAGGGATTCAACTTGAAAAAAAACACAATCTGATAAAGCCAACATACATACATCACGTAGTGCACTAGCACCAACCGAATAGAACATGTGTATTTTAAACCTTAAATTTCACATATACGTATATTCCATAGCTTTCATCAACGCTAGATTTTCCTATACCTTAAAAACAACAAAGCACTTTAATAACAACATTAAGGTGTTGTATATTTCTGGTATAGCGCTTGTATTTATTCACGCAAATATTTTCAAAGCCACTAAAGTGTACTTTTCACTGTAGTTAGGACCATTACAGTTATAACTATTGTTTCTTATGTCATCATCACAATATGACCAATGATATATGAACAGTCAGTTCGAGGTTCAATAACTCATAAACTCATCTGGATATACCCATACCCAGAACATCTGACGTTAGTGGCTGTGTCCTACCAAGGGAACAGTATTCAATAAAGCACGCATTAACAACTAGCCATTGAAATTCCTGTGCTGTGATATGTAAACTTATTAAATTTTATTATATTAGTCACCTTTCACATTCTGTGTTGCGTGTTGATTTGACATCAGTTGTAACGGCAGACTTGTAAACCGACAAGTAACACCAGGCAAACTAGTGGCTAATAGCATGAGCATTTCCGTCCATTACCGCCAGACATAGTGTCAGATGCCTTAGTTCAAAGTAAAGCTTCTGTGAGAAACATGTAATGCCGCCCTATATCACGAACAAATGGAACTGAACTGTGGCACAGAGACGAAATCGTATCTCAGCATATAACGGCTTCACAGTTGGATTATAATTGTCAGTTTGTTTCGAAATGTATACGTCATAAGCCCATGCGAGCTTGGGAAACTCAGTCAGAAATCATAAGTAATAACCTAAGATTAAACATCAGAGTAAAATAAAGTGGCCAAAGAAACTGAAATGGATTTAGTGTAAAGGGCAAAATGGCTGTGAGAATTATTTGACTGGACCAGTAAAAATCAGTGATGACACCAGGTGTTCGCAAAAAGGGTAAGCAAGAGTTGCCCTACCGGTAGCTTCTGCCATTCACATAGGCAAACTTCAGACATAATGATATTTATGTAACTAACATGCATGTGATGAAAACATTGATAAGTGCAATAACCCGTAACTAAATACCACCTCCAATTGCCGCCATGCTTGTTTTGTAGTCGTCGAAACGCCTAAACCATCTCCTTTAGATTATCTTCAAAGGAACATAACTCCTAAAATTACTGCGATCTAGATTGAAAAATAAATACCTCTCCGCCTTTTTATGTTGATTGCAATATTTACGCTCCTAGTTCATCGGCATAATCGTCACAGCTCATATTAAATAAAATAAAAAGTAATAATGAAGATTGAGATTGCCAGTGAATGTTTTGAATTGAAAGAGGGAATTTTTAAGACTCAAACTGGAGAAGAACTCTACAGGCATTCAGGATGCGGTATCAAAAGTCTATTTTTGGCACCATCAATAATGTACTAAAATTTATAATGGTAAACTAAACGGTACTTTTGAAGTTTAAAATTGAACACAATTCTCAAAACGTGTTGTGTTTTTAGGATTCAAAAATAGTTTGTATTACTGAGAATGTTTCCTTCAGTCAAAGGGTGTTATTAGCAGTTATTTTCTCCGAGTTGATAGATATATCACTGTCCGTGATAAAATCAACGTATACAACCGTTTAACCACAGTTACAAAATGCAAAGAAGATACCCGATTGCTAAAAACGTTTTTCGGGGCCGAGATCATTCGCTCCTGATGTAACACATGACAAAAATCACGGACTTTGTTATTTCAGAAACATATTAACGTAAACTGTAGAGAATACGAGGAAAGGGAAAACCTGCATACAGAGGACGTATATGTACATGCAGAGACATCCACCTGCATACAGAGGACGTATATGTACATGCAGAGACATCCATCTGCATACAGAGGACGTATATGTACATGCAGAGACATCCACCTGCATACAGAGGACGTATATGTACATGCAGAGACATCCACCTGTATACAGAGGACGTATATGTACATGCAGAGACATCCACCTGCATACAGAGGACGTATATGTACATGCAGAGACATCCACCTGCATACAGAGGACGTATATGTACATGCAGAGACATCCACCTGCATACAGAGGACGTATATGTACATGCAGAGACATCCACCTGTATACAGAGGACGTATATGTACATGCAGAGACATCCACCTGTATACAGAAGACGTATATGTACATGCAGAAACACCCACCTGTATACAGAAGACGTATATGTACATGCAGAAACATCCACCTGTATACAGAAGACGTATATGTACATGCAGAAACATCCACCTGCATACAGAGGACGTATATGTACATGCAGAGACATCCACCTGCATACAGAGGACGTATATGTACATGCAGAAACATCCTTCTGCATACAGAGGACGTATATGTACATGCAGAGACATCCACCTGTATACAGAAGACGTATATGTACATGCAGAAACATCCACCTCTATACAGAAGACGTATATCTACATGCAGAAACATCCACCTGCATACAGATGACGTATATGTACATGCAGAGACATCCACCTGCATAAAGAAGACGTATATGTACCTGCAAAAACATCCACCTGCATACAGAGGACGCATATGTACATGCAGAGACATCCACCTGTATACAGAAGACGTATATGTACATGCAGAGACATCCACCTGTATACAGAAGACGTATATGTACATGCAGAGACATCCACCTGTATACAGAGGACGTATATGTACATGCAGAGACATCCACCTGTATACAGAGGACGTATATGTACATGCAGAGACATCCACCTGCATACAGAGGACGTATATGTACATGCAGAGACATCCACCTGCATTCAGAGGATGTATATGTACATGCAGAGACATCCACCTGTATACAGAGGACGTATATGTACATGCAGAGACATCCACCTGCATACAGAGGACGTATATGTACATGCAAAGACATCCACCTGTATACCGGGGACGTCCACATGCATCCAAATGACGTTTCCATGGCCAGCATGTGATAACATGGCCATTTGTTAATCTAACCAGGAACCGTGCGGATTGACGGAATGTCACTTTTAGACTCGGACAGGGATGTGGGAGAAGGCTATATTGTTGTTATCGTACGCCAGTACATATTCATCTTCTGGCTTCTAAGTGTAATATCAGTTCGTTGTGGAACTGTGTTGGACAAATACGAAGATGCACACTATGCAATAACTTGCAATAACTAATTGAGTACTACAATTCGCAGTCGTTACTCGAAACATTACCAAATCTGGAAACGCATGTGTTGTCGGAGCAGGTTGTTAATGAAGTCTTGAAAATTGAATGAACTCAATATAGTGATTACCTACTAGAAATGTCTCTTCTTGTATAAAAACTGTACCCTATATATCTGATAAGTAACTCTTATCAAAAATAGAGCAAAACGATTACGCAGAGTATACAACATATAGATACGCATACAAAGGGTCCAATGGATTCTGGAGCGAAGTGTTCCCTGTGCATTGTGAATAGTCCTATGACACACATGCCTCCAGTATCATCGACTCCCTCTCATGTGAGATGCCGTCATCAGACGTGAACAGCTGTCGTGTCACTACACATGCCTCCAGTATCATCTACTCCCTCTCATGTGAGATGCCGTCATCAGACGTGAACAGCTGTCGTGTCACTACACATGCCTCCAGTATCATCGACTCCTCTCATGTGAGATGCCGTCATCAGACGTGAACAGCTGTCGTGTCACTACACATGCCTCCAGTATCATCGACTCCCTCTCATGTGAGATGCCGTCATCAGACGTGAACAGCTGTCGTGTCACTACACATGCCTCCAGTA